CACGTTCATATGATGCAAGCTATAATTTCTCCCGGCGTCGAAGCGGGGTGCCTACAGGCAGCAATAAGGCTAGGCCTGACTTTAACGTCAAACTTCGGACGATCCCTAGCAAAAACACCTGAGTGTAGTATGAGATAAAAATACCTTCATAATCATCCTTCATCAGAGGGACTTATGAGCGCGCTACGGCCTAGCTAGCTCGTCGAGCGGACGTTCCTGAAGACACCAATAAGCGATATCCGCCTAGAAAAAAGAGGCTGCTGATTAAGCACATACGTCGTCGGCAAATGACAAAGGTCATGATCGGGGTCGGTCCAGCAACTGTTATCCATGTACTTGTGCACTAATTTATCGACTCGCGGGGCGAAAAAAAAGATGCAGGATAATATCTTAAGGCTAGGTGTTCAGGGAAGAATCGGCGTGTTTTGCATAGCTGGGTTGGGCCAGAATTCAGTAAGCTCCCGATCTAAAATTGACACATGAAACGAGGTCATGAAGCTCGAAAAATGAAAAGAAAATGGTCCTGGCACCTGGCAGAGCAATATACGAGTGTTATTTACCATCGTGGTTAAAAGGAAGAAGCGAGTAGTGTATGGTTAGTCCTGAGATCTTGAGATCTAATCTTTGATGCATGCAAAGTTCCCCGCAGTCGGGCCGGAGCCAGTTGATCCCAGACTCCCTTGCAACTCCCTTGCACCTGATAAACTGGATAATGAGATCGTGTCACAAAAGTAACTCAAGCCTCGGTAAGTAATATTCGCTACTCTTGCTCTCCAGACAAAGGAACCCACACAGGAAGCATGAAACTCACGAATTAGAAAGGCGAATTATTTGCGGATCATGACACGCGCTTTCGCGTGTCATTTGGTAACATCAAAGATATGCTATATGGGTTTTCTCGGCGGTAATATCAGGGTACTACATTCGTCGATGTGGTACTATAACCGGAACGACAGCATCAAAATTACACGGTCTACTTGCGCCTCAATCTGCGAGCTCGGCGGTTTGGGTCATTCTCCGATAAAGTATACGGATTCCGCCACAGGGTATTATCTATCGGACACATACAATGACTACGTACTTGTCTTCTGCACAAAGAAGCAATATTACTAGCCAAACAGTGCCTCTTAAATCATTAGTCATCGTAGTCTGTTGTATCCACCATTTTCTTTGTGGGATTTTCTTAAGATTCGTTGAAATTTCATTTAAATAAGGAGTAATGGCCCCGCCTGATTTCCTACATGGTGCTGATACGTTGCGTCTCAATTACACTCCAGAATTAGACTGTTATCATTACCAGCACTGTGCCACATACACGGAGGATCCCGGGGTGCAACCCTTTACTGGAACCGAATCGGAATCTCTCAGTAAACAAGGTTTTCACGGCTGTGAAACAAAATCTATTTGGTATATGTGTTTCTTTGTCCACCTGAGTCGATGTCGGCACTGGCGACTACGACATGCCGCCTCGGATTTCTTCAGTATTGAGTTCGTCCCCAGTTCCCAGCTCCGAGGCTGAGGCTATGCCCGTTTTAATCTGCCTTTTCCATGTCTTCTTGATCGAGCGGAGTGTGGTTATCCACCTACATGGTTTGACGCAGCATGCGCTGGGCCCTGGGATGGTATGGTCCAGCGCCGCTCCTCGCTGATCTCGCACTCGATAGAAGCATTTGATATTCCCGCCCCAGTTCACGATCCACGAAGCTCCGCTCAATAGCGTTGTTACGCACCAACTGCGGACTTATTCATTTTCCACTTCTCATGTTTCATTTCTCCCGATGGCATGATGATGTTATCCCACGGAGAGGTCGCCATCTGTACCAGAAGCAAGACGTTCAATGGAATCCACCCACTCCGACTGTCGCCTGTGAATTCCTACTGAATTATTCCACTAGTTGCGGGTCAACCGCTGAGATGAAACTAAAGCAAGTTCAGAGGCAACGTTTCTGGATCGTGTTGTATTCACAGTTCCGGATACGACGCTCGTCGCCGGTCGAATAGAATCACGCCGACGCTCAATACAAAGTACCTGAGACTATTGAGAAGTCATGATGGCGATAGTGATATAGACCTATGCCCTGGCCTTCAACGTATGCTATCTAGCCATTGCCCTCGATGCCGGTTCGCTATTGCTCGAAAGCTGCAGTGGAAAGACTTAGTGGGAAAACCTCTCCTAGGAGGCGTTTTATTTCACATTCGGGAACCAGACATTCGGCGAAGAGATATGGTCCTAGGGAATTGAGCACATGAAACGGGTCGGAGCACGCGCGAGCCAGGTGAGAATCATCTTGGCAGATTTGTCATGTGTTTGAGGGTATCCGTACAATGGCATTACGGTAACTCCTTCTTGTATAATCATCGGCGATGTAACCTTCGGTAAGCTGAAGCTGAGACCAGTCTAGCTCAGGATCTCCTTACAGGAGAAGGCTTTTGGCTGCACTGAAAAACTTCGTCAGAATTAGGAACCGCAGCACGTGAATGGAGACCATGTTTCCGGACATCTGGCTTAGTAGAGAATAGCGGAGGTGTAGACTCAACAATGCAATAAGGCGTGAGAAAGGAGAGATCCGAAAGGCTCGTCGGTGGTCGTTCGAGTACCTGATAAGTATCTGCCTGGAATGGGGATAGGGAAAATTCGCACGGAGTCCGTAGGATGAGAATGAGCACAAGGCTCTCCATGAAACGTCCCGAAGGAGAAAGCAGAGGGATAATGAACCATCGTCATCGGAGGGGTACGACGCTGGCCTGGCCAACTTTACCCAGGGTCCAGATCGTATGAAATCCCAGTGACTCGATAGATACAAAGCGAATGACAACCCTCAAGCAGCAGAGGGACGACCGAAGGCAATGCACGAATAACCACTAAGAGGGAAAGGCATACCGAGAGACTGAAAGAATCCAATGAAGGGGTTCCTTAGAAAAACCCTCCCTCCAGTTCGAGCTCGACAGGAAATTTCAGTGGATAATCTCTGCTATTTAAGACTTATCCAAGTCCCTCATACGTGGAACAGTATCGAGAGTGTCGACAGAGGCAAGTCCCCGTCGCGTTGGTCGAAGCGAAGAGTGGTTGATAGTCTAATCTTAGAGCTTCGGGTAATTCCGAGATGGCCCGGTCCGGGTTGAACCCGAACGACCACCTCAAGATCCTTACAGCCCTCAGCGACTACGCAGAGAGCGTCGAAAAAGCCAATCGTAGGTATGTGGTACTAGCTCTTACTGGTCGTAAGTCTGACCTTGGCCGAAACTGAAGCAGAACCAACTGTTGAACCGACTTGCATGATAGGCTATTTGCGACTCATTACTTCTTGATTCTCTTTGGCTACATCACTCAGTATCCAATCACGAGTCCGCGGCTACGCGGATGGACCTGAACGCAAAAAGACTTGGCAAGTTGTTTGTGACTCAGAGTCAATCTCACTGTCCTATTCTTAAGATAGGCGACATCTCCTTGGTGCTAAATCTGAGGTGTAAGCGTACTTCATTGCTCGGGCTGTACCTTTTTTAATATCGTTATAGGATGACGTCCGTAGGGTTGGTCATTCGTCCTTCATTTACTCAACTCAATTACAATCGCGGTCACCTTATACTGCGCTGGCCCCCGCTCCTGGCCATGAATGACGACATATTTCTTTGCGCCTCCGGTGCCCCTACTCTATTACGCTACTTTGTGTAGCCAGAGGCGAGACTGATACTACGCATGCTCGGCTCCACTCAATTTGGTGACCAAGAGCGCCCACAGAAAGGTCGCACATTGTCCGTGGTATGCCGATTAGCTTCGTAGCGGGAGCAGGACATTCGTGCTGCGACATCCGTACGTCCGTCTTCCAGGCTCTCGACCAGTGCACGAAACACTCCCGTCACACACTTCTAAGCTACCAGGATTGTGATCGCGGGGGCGAGAGTGGAGGCGTTCATCACTTTACCAGATCATGACGCCGCTCGTGGTACTAACCCCCACACCACCATTAATTGATTCCCGTGGCCATGATCCGGCAAGACTTGGGTCAATAGAGAATAACAATCTCTTCTGTTCGCGCTGTCATGATGTCCTCCTCCTCCTCCACGCGGCCACGAATCTAGGCTTTTGGAACTGGAATCGGAGAACTATGTGGAATCCTTTGCCATTGTGCGTGGCGCCATCTATTCAATGGCCTAGGATCCAGCTAGTACGCCTCGAGGGTACTGCGTTCCTCCTCACAGGTGGTAGTAATGATATATCCTCGGACAGAATCTCGTTCTCCCGTCGGTGGCGACAGAGCCCTGTCAAGATGTGATGCAGCGTCATCCTTTAGTTACCGAAGCGGGTCTCGGGCGGTTTCATGGGATTTCATCGTGGCGCACATCCGAGTTCGCGAAGCCCCACTAGTTGAAACCCCGTTTCATATCCTCTTCTTCTGCTTGTTGACACAAGGAATCCTCAGAACCCACAAGTCGAACTACCATGCTGCGACGCTTAAGGTTAGGAATTATTGTTGACCCTTCGTTTCAAGTCCGGCGATCATTGAAAAATGGTCGGCTCACTCACGCTGGATTTCTAGAAGACGGTGAAAATCTTGTCATGTTTTTCCATATCCAATTGACCAGCTTTCTCATTCCTTCGTAGGTACTGCGTTCTCTGCTCGTCATCATATTTGCCGACGTCCATTCGCTAGCGAGTTTTCTGGAAATCTACCTCTCCGTCTAAATATTTACCCGAATCCTGATATTCGCTCATCTACACGTCCCGCTGATCTTAGATCTCCGGCTTGAACCTAGTCTACTGCGCCCCATCCTACAACTAATACTATCGTAGCAAAGGAGTGAAGTAATATTACACCATTGATTGTAGGCACTCCGTTTCTCGAATATGAAATTAAGAAAAGGTCCTCCACTATAGTGTTCAATAATCGCAGGGCAATTGATACTCTCCTAGCTAGTATAGTAAGGAGTCATCGTTGTTCAGAGTAATTAGTACTACAAAATGAAGGAAGATGTACAGAGCGAACGCCAATTAAGCATTATCCCTCTTAGCTCAGTTGGTAGAGCGCGTCACTAGTATGATTGGAGCAACGTGTGTAAAAATATTATGACGAGGTCAGTCGTTCAAGTCGGCTAGAGGGAACTGAAGAAGAATGCCCGAGTACTTTTTGATGTAGGCGCCGTAGTTTCCATACAGATTATTACGAAGTAGATGAATTTAGTCAGTTTCGCCTATCTCCTGTTTGAAGGAATTAACATCTGCAACCTACCGGACCACATTCAAAGGGCTGATGACAACTGCTCATGTGTCTTCTCAAAGGAATCGCTCTTGACGTACAAGACCCATACGAGGAAATGGACGTGTGCTACCCTGGAATTGAGAACACCGAAGGGCATGAAATTGACCGGTGTAACGGCAGGAGCGATGGACGGAAGGCGGAGGCTGTATATTTACAATTGGCTCTTGAAATGCGATCGATCGCATCGCAGAGCTGAAAGATCGGCGATGTGAGTTGAGAATCATATTTTGATGATACTGTCCTTCAGGCCACCATAGCTGAAGGCGTCATATATGCTCCATGTGCGGGGTGAATATAGCCCTCTTAGCTCAGTGGTAGAGCGTGTCACTCGTATGTGAAGGAAGATATCCCATGCGTTATGACAAGGTCAGTCGTTCAAGTCGGCTAGGGGGCATCCTTTTTGTCTGAGCCCACAAGAAAACTCTCTATAAAAAACTACATTTAAAATAACATCGTTACTTTTACTCCAACGGTAGAATCAAAAACACGTTAAACGTAGGCGAACGAACAAGAAAAAGGACGATCCAACTAATCGTGTATAGCCAAATGAACCTTAGCTCCTACCCTTCTTCTTTCTCGACGACTCCTGCTTCATCGCCTCCCGCACCTGTATCCCTTTCCCAACTAGTCGACGGCCTGCTCCCGCCGGGACCCCCGTTACTCGTACTCAAAAAGTCCAACCAAGCGCCATCAACTCTGCCTGTGGTTGGACTATGTGTCGGCCCAGCACCAGCTTGCGCATTTGTCGGAGCATGTATCGGCCAATCAAAGCCTCCCGCGCCTCCGCCTGCTCCCGATGTACCACTGGACGAGCCCGGCCTGCCATGATCATCAAACAGGCCAAAGATCTCTCCGCTCCCACGAGACATGGATGCGCTCAGTGGGTAGCCCGCGTATCGCCTCTCGCCTCCGAATTGGGCAGGAGTGGAGAAGTTGCTCCCACCGCCTCCTCCTCCTCCTCCTCCTCCACCTCCGCCGCCGCCGCCGCCTCCGCTACTGTAAAAGGGCGTATGGTGGTATTGCGCGGAGGGCGGGGGGTAGAAGCCCCCTTGGCCTGCGCCTCCTCCTCCCGCGCCTCCTCCGCCACCACCGGACCCGGATCCAGAGGAGGAACGACTGTGCATCCCAGGTCCGGAGACGCTGGGTGGGGAGAGACGCTGCTTCTTGTGGGGATTCGGATTGGGATGGGGGTGGCGAAGGGAGGAGATGGGGATGGATGAGGACGACGTTGATGGTTGCTGGATGGGTGTCTGTGGAATGGGCGGCGGTGGTATCGCCATCGCGCGCGGCGGGGGCGGCGGGATATGGGGGTGGTGAGACTGATGATGCTGCTGGTGGGGATAGTCGAGCTGTCGGGAGAAGGAGTGGGTTAGTTGGTACGTGACGAGAGAGAGACAAGAAGGGATTAGAGAAGCAGCGCGGTTGACGGAAGCCAAGATCTGGGGCGTTGACAACAGCGACGACGGAGTTTCAACGCCATGACGACAGCAGGGACAACAGCGAGCACAACGTGTTCGCCATCGTCGAGCACGACGCCGGAAAGAAGAGTGGATACGCTGACTCACCTCGCCAAGGTCAGCCGCGCCAACGGGTCTGAGTCGCCCACTGCCCCTACGTTTTGACGGTACAGAGGACACGACCTCCTCCTCCTCCTCTTCCTCCTCCTCATCGATGATCTTGACCGCGCCAGAAAAGTCGCCTGGTCCACGCGTATCCTTCTCGCCCTCGTACTAGACAAGGCTTCGTCAGTGACCCCTATAGCGACCAGAAAGAAAAGACATGTTCGTACGCGCAAATGTCTCTGAACAATTTCCCTGGTATCTCCCGAGCAGTATTCGTACAGCTTGAGATGATGCCCCGGGCGTTCCTCTAAAAATAGACGAGCGTCAGCCGAGCCCTCTTGGCACCACCAGACTCGAACACGCACCAAAGATGATCACAGCAACGTCCACACTGCACAGCACCCCGAGCTCGTACGCTTTTTTGAACAGCCCATTCTTCCTCTGCGAGTTGGTACGATTGCGAGCCAAAAATAAAGAAGAAATGCCAAGAACTTTATTAGTCTCGTGTCGGGACAAAAATAGCAGCGACCGTTGGGATAAAGAAAGATGGGAGGAGGAGAGGATGGGGCTGGGAAGCGTTGGGGGGGAAGGGGATGGGGGAACAAGAGATTAGGGCGTACCTTTAGAAAAGTCACCGACCGGTTTCGTTCATGCTACACCCGCACCCAAAAAAATCCATCAGCGCCTCATATCCACCAATACCACAGTCCCAGCGTCGAGCACTCACAGTAATCGGCTGTATCTCAATCTTTCTGCGTCCCATGGCGATGTGTGCTAAAGGCAAGGTGGTGGTGGGTACGAGGTGGGAAGTTTGTCGCCCTCTTTGCCCTTGGGTATGTATTGCACTGCCGACATGCCGCACACAAACATCCCCAAATAATTCTCGGTGGCGGTCTTATTGCTCCCGGCGATCGGGTTCGACGATTTCGGATCTCATTTGTCTTTTCGATCTCAGTCAATGACCGGAGGAGTGGGATCAATCCATCAACGTGTCCCCATATCCTTGATCCCAGACGAATTACCCACTAATTATTTTTTTTTTTGCGCCCCCCCTCTCCCCCCTGATCCCGTGGTTTTGATCTTCTTATTACTTACAATGTACCCTCAACGCTTGGTGACCCCCGGCCGTATCATCTGAATCTCCGCGCAACCCGGCGCTTTCCTTCCCTCGCCCGCCCCGCAATAAACCCGTTTTCGTCATATCTCCCTAGCTTCGCGCAGTCTCTTTTCCCACTCTCTCAACTAGGAATCATCAACAGAAATCAACCCTTTGTTTGCTGATGGTTGCAATTCCCGGGATGCCGTTACCCCGCGATGATATCGTCGGGTGTTTACCTAACCCTCCCTAGCCCCCGCGCGCGCTCAATTCAAAGTTCGCGTCCGACGGTCGACTCCAATCTTCCCGCCCTTCTTCTTCTCGCCTCTACTCTATCTCCACTTGTTGATTCGACGTCATTCGTTCACCACCAATCACTCGACGCGTGGATGATTCTTTGACCGCTCACAGGGAGAAAAAAAATAATCAATTCCACATGGATCAACTCCTCCTTTGCTTTCGGGTATTTTACCCGTAACCCATCAACGGAAACCTCCAGCTTGGACGCGTCGAAGCCGCACTGATTATGCATGCACGACATTTATGCCGCGGGAGAATCCCTCTCTTTTCGGTCGACCCTCCCATTGGCTCTTTGTCTCCTCCCATCTTCATTGGCCAGTTCATCCCTGTCACCTCATTGGTTCTCGCCCTTTGTTCTCCCTTTCCCATCTCCTCTTATTCGCTTTTTCTCGTTCCAGACCAGCGAATCACCTTACCTCTCTTCATTTCACAGTCATTCTTCCCTACCCTTGTTTACTCGGTCTACCGTATCCCCGGGTGGGGATGGCTAAATCTTTCTTCCCCCCATCTCGCTCTCTATCCCATCCTGTGCGGAGCCTCGCCCCTTCCTCCTCACTTGCGGCACCGTGACCAGACATCGGCTCCGTTGCAGCCGTGGTAATCCTCTCGCCTTACTTACACCAGACCATCGCGTCAAGTCCCAACGTATTACGTCTCCTACCCTCCTTCCTTGCTTGTCTCTCCTTCGCCCTTTCCCGGATATCTTACGTTCAAGGGGGGGAGCGAGGACACAAGTGACTCGTTACGTTGTAACGAGAGAAAAAAACACACCTTCTCCTAGGTGGGGCGTCTACATCGTTTCCGATAGCGCCGTCCACCAACGCCAACCTCCCCCTTCTTTCTCGCCAAAACACATCTCCCGGCTCGTATATCATTACGTTCAGTTTCAGAAGAACCCCTCCCTCACTCTTTATCCTCAACATTCGAGCGGTCTCGATCCTGGCAACAATCAATAACCCTTCGAGCCCACGTTCATTTCCACTCTGTCAAGTGAGAGTCGCTGTGTTTTTTTCCTTACTCTGAAGCGCCACTAACTGCAGACTTCGACGGTCGATCTAACACGTGAGGGAGATAGGGATCTCACGACTCGCCCTCTTGCTCCAGGCTTTCCAACGTACGAGTCATTTAGTCCCTCGAGCCCGCCACTATACCGGCGCCACGAGCAAGGATCGATTATCTGCATGATGGGCGATTTACGACAATATTCTCTTGGCGAGACGAGGCGTTCACCGTTAGGGCTGGGCTGGGCGTAGGTTCGAGCAGGGACACCCTGCCTTCGAGCAGAGATGATAAGCATCTCACCATCACTTCGCTTCGTTATCGCTCCAGGCTCTCCAAATCCCTCGAATCCGCCACTACTTTCTCTCGTATATCGGCGCCACGAGCAAGGACTCATTGCCTGCATGGTGGGCGATTTACGATAAGAGGTTCTTGGCGACATGCAGAATGACGAGGCGTTTAGCATGGAGGCTGTTCGTAGGTTCGAGCAGCGATGTCCTCTTTCTCCGCCACTCCATACTAAGTACACGATACGTCGAGCTTTAAATTCTTTTGCAACGACGAAATAACAACGTCTGTATCTGATATTCTTCTGGATTCATATAAAGCGAGATCATGTTTTGCCCCATGACTTTCAACGAGGAGCCGCCTCTCTACTATGTATATGATGAAAGATTGTTAAAAAAAATTGAGACCTGAACACCAAAAATGAAATGATTTTGCTACATTCCCTCTAGCCGATTTGAACGACTGACCTCGTCATTAAATAATATTCATCCATTTTATACTAGTGACGCGCTCTACCAACTGAGCTAAGAGGGACAACGCTTTCTCACGCACCACACACCCTACACCTACCATCTCCCCACCATTATCATCCACGACCCTGACCGTCTTTCCCAAATTCAAAATGGGCCTTCCCCAAATCCCGATGCGACATTTATCCGTGCCCTCGTCAAACGCCACACGCCGATCCCCTTAAAATAACACCCGGGGGTGAGATCGAACATGTTTACAGGGTCCGAGTTACTTATAGGTAGGGACTGGGGCGATTTCGTAAACTAGGGAACATTCGTTATGGAAATGGGCGGAAGCGGGCCCGACAGTGACTGACCGGCATTAGGGACTAGGCCCATCTATAGAGAGGCAGGCCCTTCGACTGGTCCGGCAAGAAGGGTAACCGCGCCCCCGTAGATCATTTTGGCGGCATGGTCCCAGTACCACCGACGAGCCCCTCCTCCACGTTTTCCGAACAGCCTGATGGAAATAATAGAACGTAAGCAAGAGAACTGTCATTGAGTACATGTGGGGCTCCAGCGAGATCTAGAAAATTATGAATGCACGCTTTATCCAAGTGCCACGTTTCGGGAGATTAACAAATATAATAATGACGTTGGACCTGAGAGTAATAACGGACGAAGTAAACGAGGGATAGAGCGAGCGAGTCTGGTAAAAAAATCCCCCAGGTGGTCTGGTTAGCCGACCTACTCTGTGAACGCCAGGATTGCACCGAGGAATCGACGGGACCAGAATTCACTTGTACTACGGAGTGCAATCAGTATGAGAGTATTCAAGCAAATGGAGAAACACCGTGTCTCGTGGGTTCTATCGACAGAGAGTATTGGTAAGTCGCCCGAGCCATGATAAGAGGAATGCTTCGCCCAACAACAAGGGCTACGGTAAATGAACAACTTCCCGTGCATCATGGGGTCCTAATAACGGTGAAGTTCTCAAAAAACACCGCCTTGAGCAGCATAAAGAACAAGTTACTCACGCTCGGAGGGCTGGCGCCTTCTCTCCGGACAGACGTTATCTTAAAGGGATTAAAGAGGCCGGTTTTTTGGTTGAGCCTGCCGGTATTATAGCTAGTGGATACATCCACGCCCCGAGCTCATGGATTTTGGAGGTGAAGAGATCGGACCGCAGGCAGGAAATATCAAAGCTGGAGGCGTAAACAAAATTAGCACCTCATTAATAGATGATAAGGGCCGTAAAAGGCATTCAATTCCGGAGAGAAAATAAATATACAGTGTAGCGCCCTAAAGATAGACACAATATATAAAAAACGAGAAGCTGCTTGTGGTACCATCATACTTCTCAGGGTCCGTTGATAGCCCAACTAATGATGGCGCTGGGAACGAAACGGTGAGTCGTGACCGTTAAGAGGATGCCGCTGCACGGGGGGATGTCCAACGGACGACGAACCAGGAAAATCTGAAGAATGGAAAGGACCTTGGGGAGAAACTCCTCGCGTTCGCTGCGCTCTTCCTTCTATCACCGCGAGTCGTATCCTTTGCAAAATGTTTTGCTAACGTCGGAAAGAAATACAATCTTCCGGTCTTTGTGATAGAACGCTCATAGAGCCGCGCACCATCGCTGGGTTAGGTGATACTGCGGAGGGCTGGCCGTTAATGCGATGCGTCAAGGAATGAGAAGAACAAGTGACTGACGCTTTGAAACTTTGCGGGCTGCATAGTATTGATGAATCGCCCATGCTAGGCTTCCAGAATGATGATTCCATTCACTGTGAACCTAGCTCTACATGGTGCCAAATGTATAGATCGCCGAGTCCCGACTCGACTTCCGTAGACCTGGAACATTAGGTTGCATGTGCACGCAAAAATAGTGGCGAGGTAAATACAAATGATATTCATCAAAGTTCTGCCATCATCCGAACATTGTAAAAGGATAGAAGGCATCATTTACTCGCTATATGGACTGTCGAGACGCGCTTTGAGGGGAGACAAAGGCCGGCTTTCTGTTCTGAGGTTAGTGAATTGGGAGGATTCTGGACGTTAGACGACGAGAAACTCACAATGGAGGTATCAATACGATGGGAGTATTCTCCCGCTATGATTCAAATTCGCAGAGAAGCACCACAGAAGCTTCGCACGGAGCGATGGGATTCTATGCGGTGTGCCAAGGTTTCGCCAAGGTGTGCATCTTTGGAGTATATTGTATAGGTTACGTTGTCTGCGCTAAGAAACGACGTAGTATGTGACGAACTTTGAAATCGAACTTGAAGTTGGTGGAGTGTTATGAGGCGGTGGTCAAGGGTATCTCCGGAGTTGGCCGCGAGTGATAGTCAGGGTCATCATTAGGTTGGGTGATAAGATAAGATATTCAATTTCTTTCGAACTTATCCCCCTTCTGCTTGCCGATGGTGATGCCATAGCGCGATTCCATACGTCATACGAGGGTGTAAACTGCCAGAGCTTGTAAGCGACGTGTGACAAAGAGTGATTGTTTGAAGGGCGACTGACGCTGTATCCATGTGCTACACTCTCAGGTGGTGCTCATGAACGTGAAAGCGGTCGTTCAATGTAACCTTTCTAAGTGAAACTCGTCATTAATACATGAAATCATCCACAAAAGGCAGCCTTGACATCGGTTACCGGCCATCGAGCCGTGTTCACCCTTCGCTTTCTTTACCCTCAGATTCTGAAGCGATGGTCGGACGCGACGACGCAAGTCGTGAACGGTTATGACGCTTTTCGTTCGGTAACCAAATTTCTGTGGCGTTGACCGGGTACTAAGCGAGAGTTCCTTAGGGCGATGGCGTTGGATTTAGTGATACACCAGACTCGTAGCATATGGATGCAGACATAGCCAGATTACATGAGAAGACAGCTGCCGCAAAAGAGATAATTCGTGTAACGTGCATGGTCTTGGGTCGGAAGTAGGTGGGAAGATGTTCACAGGCCCATCAGCATAAAATGAGTCAGTATATATACCACGAACATCGGCCCCATCAATGAACCGGTTATCTGCTAAGAATGAACTTTGAATTTCATATACCAATAATACCCTTGATCAAATACATGAATAGCCCGAGTCCTATGTCAGTTATGAATAACAACGCACCGACGAAGTCAGACCCTGATCTACCGACCACAGAAATAGGTGTCCTAAGGCCCATATGTTAAGAATAACGGTCCACGTCCCCCTGATCGACATTTCATGAAATTAGACTCGGGATGATAAATAAAATTATCCAGGACATACCTAAAGTTAGCTGAGACGCCGGAACGAGCGCTTCAGACAGTCGAAAGTGAGTTGATGCTAAGAAAACGTCGGTTCGGCGGACTATTACCTTACTGGTCCATTTCGAGCCGTCGGATACAGGGTGAGCTATCATTTCCACAAATCAGTTTCCGGAATCTGATTTGGAATGTAGGACATGCAGATCCTTCTGTGCGGTAAGCATGATTTGGATTGTGGGACTTTCTCATACGACAGCAATGGGTCTAGCTGCACCAGAATATAGATTGTCAAAGTCTAAAGAAACATGAACTTCGCAATCTGTCACAGTCATGAGGGAACAGTAAACCATACATACCTCAACTTTAATGTGCCGCATAAGGCGACATAGTGTCAAAGGAAGCCTTACACCGGTTAAGGCGTTTCAATAGGCTCTGTATGGTCAAAGATTCCTTATAAAACGAGTCTGTTCCGCGTCTTTGGAACTTGACGAAGCCTCCGACATTGAACCTAGTCCTATGCTCGATGATGACGGCACTCGCAAAGTGATAAGGCTGTGGTGTCATCAGCCCAGGGATGTGTGAAAGAGCCAAGGTGTGGGATCACGTTAGATCGTGGAGTTCTGCCGCCTATTGAATTGAGGGCTGATGTTATCTTACAGTGGAGCGTGTTGGGCATCGCCTTTGCAATCGACGGGATAGCCGGAATTCAGCCAGGAACAGCACTAAGCCAAAAGTATCAACAGAGAACCTTATCTGGACCAGAGATAACACGCGGAGTCTGGTATTCAGTGTTGAACTTGCCCACCCTGTCACCGATCAAGAACCATGTCCTCGGAAGTGCCAAACAGAGTGCTGGTCACAGCTTCGTCTTACCATTCAATCGATGACATGGGGACGATTTCAATAGCGACCGAGATGAACCAAAGATGAACAGTACGGGGTCCGGTAAGACGTGCGTTACGACATAGACTATCAGGTGTTACGCTATTGGGGCTAAGCTTTGGTCGCGCCTATGGAACATGAAGACGATGGAAACCGCATCACCAAGTCTAGGGAGCCTTCGCTGCTACCCAGAGTTTCTTAACGTGATCTTTCCTAGCCAATAAGATGAGGCCTCGATGTTCAGACGCAAAAACCAAATACCATCGATTCAATTTGGACAGTGTGCTCTCCGTGATGAGTATAATAGCAGCGATTAAAATGGAATCGCCATCATTTGGGCCAAGACTGTGAGCGCGATGATGCCGCTTATGAAAAACCATTTGTGAGATTTGATGATACTCGTACTAGCTTCAGTTCCGTAAGACAGACTAACCCTAATCGGAGGCTTACGCTTCGAAGAAACTGACTAGATAAGATCAGAGACACTGTAGACCCTTACAATTGTAAGCCGAACTAGTTCAGGGAGGCTCCAGCTTAGGCGTACTATATCGACGAAAAATGGGCTCGCAAGACGGGCAGCTAAAATTCTCGTAGTAGTGTCACATTGAGGATCGGGGGATCTAAAATATATCGTGTTAATAGAGTTGAAACCAAAGGATGAAACAGCAGGCTATGTTGAGGAGGAAAGACTGATTGGGACGGAGATATATCGACAGTGTCCTATAGAAACAGCACTCAGTGAGCATGCTTTACGATTCGTGCAGAAATTAAAGTGTTGTTTCTTACACTGCCATAGAGATAAAGGACATTGAACACGTTCGTCGACGTCTAGGTGGAACAACCACCGGCCCGGCATAGTTCGGATTTTGCCACCACGTGTGCTCCCGATTTTCAAATTGCATTTCGCTTTACCATTCACCACGACGGCGCTCATTTTTCTCAGCAGCCATTCTCCCT